AAAGGCTGGGGGAGGGGGGCTAGAGAGCCGCAGAAGGGTTTGGGTTGGAAGGGGCCTTTAAAGGTCCCCTAATCTGCCCCCCCCCGAGCGCCGCGGGTGGGAGTCGTCGTACGGAAGAGAGGAAAAACGCGGTGACCGGGATAAAACCGTGCGAGCTCGTCCCAGAATTTAGGACTGCCCCCCGCCCCTGCCGACGGACACCGCCGCTTCTTTGCCGTGGCCAGTCTGCGGTTGGCATCGCGTTCCTAAAACCCAGCGGCAGCGAGAAACCCCGCGGTTGATATTATCCCCCCCTCCTTTTCCCACCGCTCGCTCTCCCCTTCGATGGGCTTTCGCTCCGTGTCCTCCTTCGGGGAATTTTGCCCGCCGGTTCGGAGGGGCGTGACCCGTTTTTACAGTTCAGCTGCACCCGTTTTGTTCACGATACAACCCCCGCACGTATCGATGCCAGGGCGGCTTAGCAAAAATCGACGCTGCCGTAGTTGTAATTCTCTGTTACGTGCTGCTGACGGTCTCAGGACCCTCTTTTCCGTTGCAGAGACGTCTTACCAGGTGCCAAATGTGACTACGCTGTACAGGTGCAATTAAGGTAAGGTAACGGTTCTGTGACGGACGCGGTTGTTCCCCGAGCTAGCGTTACCGGCGTTAATTTGTCCCCGGTTTCGGTGAATCCCGCTTTTCAGCGCTCGGTTCGGCTGGAAGTCGCATCGCTCGGAGGAAATCCGAAACGCTCGGGGCTGCGTTCCGAACGCCGAGGGGTTTGGGGGTGGGGGTTGAGCCTCTGATAAACCGGGGTCGTGCAACGCCGAACCAAGGAGGGGGGGTGTCTTTCTGCGCTCGGCGAGGCGGAGCGGGTTGCCTCCGGGTGACGCGGCCTCGCACGCCAGTTCCCGCGTGTGTGTGGTAGGATTTAACCTTTTTCAGAGTTTTTCGCGCTTACCTAGAGCTCGCTTCTTTCTCTTCTCCGTTTCAATTTTTCGCCTGTTTGCAGATTCACTGCAAAAGGCGGAATAAGGCGCAGAAGCGACGTTGCCTTAAAATTTGAAGATTATTATTATTTTTTTTTTTAAACCTTCGCCCAGCTATTACTCGTGAAAACGCAGGACGCGCCGGAGAGCGTGAGTGGAAGAATATTCGCAAGCGCTTCACGGGTCGCCGCCCCC